AACAATCGGCGTTCTGATAAACCATCACAGTCGCTCCACAAGTCGCCGAAGGAGTCGCGAAAGTCGCAGACGGAATTGCAGTCCAAATCGCGAACTTCTCATATGTCGCAATCGCGAACTGTTCCTTCTGGTTCGCTCACCAAGGCGCAGAAAGAATCGCGAAAGGATCTGCGCGGGACATTGGGGAAACTCGCAGAAAAGGTTGAGCGCGAGAATGTGGTGAAAGAGAAGCGCAAAAATGTGGAGAAAGAATAACGCAAAAAAAAACGGAGAAAGAGAAGCGCGAAAAAGTGGAGAGGGAAAAGTCTTCAAACCTAGAGAAGGGGAAGCCCAAGCTGCGGCAACAGCGTCGGCGAGGAAGGTCGAGGACTGTGCGTCGCTGCATGAATTCGAAAAACAAAGGTCCGTCGCAGTCGCAACACACTTCCTCCGGACCTCTGGCTTCGACTCGAGTAGAAATCCCTAGTTCGCAGTCACGAACTGTTTCTCTTAGTTCGCCCTTGCTAACCGAGCATCTTCTATCATTATCGCAAGTAGATTCTTACCCTGCGCCAGACTTGTCTCTTGATTCGCAGATATCATTGCAAGCCATATCTCCCAGTGTGCTAGTGTCAACATGCCCACATGAATTATTCGTTTCAGAATTTATAACCATAGTCGCATCAGGAAAAAGATTAACAGGGACTATAATTCCGGAAATTCATACTGAATTGAAGCAAGTGGCACCAACAGTTTCAGAAAATAGCGAAGTTCACAATCTGCAGGTATATGATGATGATATTTGTGTGGTGAAGTCCACAATGAATTTTGGGTTTGTACAGGAGAGGAACGGGCTTAAGGTTTTAAAATTTGTAACGATGGATTGTCATATATTAAACATTAGTTTGGAAGGGCTGAAGTCGTTGAACAAGTTTGATTGTTTCAGATGTGAGGGTGTTACTTCTATGATAGATAATCAGAATGGGAGAATTTTCTGGGAATATTACAGAATATGAGGGATATGAGTCTGGTGTTGGAGTTGTCATTTGTTTGATGTTTGTTAAAGATCCCGATCCTGGTCGTGTCCCTGAGGCCATTTCAAGAGGAGTTTCAGCGGATGATAGAGAGAGAGTTTTATTATCAAGTGGTGTTGATCATGCGAGTACAAATTCAAACCTATTACTTAGTGTTTTGGAGATGGGAAGATTAGGTGGGGTAGCAAATGTCCTTGAACTTAGTAGACAGGCTTCCGTTGGAGATAAAATCACTGCATCTATCCTGGGTTTTGACACTATTCAACAGCTCTTAGCTATTGTGACAACAAATGGTAGGCCGCATGTCGTTGAAGGTGAAGGCACTGCCTACTGTATTACTAAGTTGCGCACTCCACCAGTTTCTGCAGAGGATTATGGACAAGAGAACTATTCGAGCTGTTATGCACCAAAGTTGAAGATCTTGTTAGTTGGAATAGCACCAGTAGACTGTGTCCAGTTACTTTCTCTTGATGGTAAGGATCCACAACCTGTTGGGTCTCGGATGACCATCGGCGAAGTGTTTGGAGCATGTATTCTGAATGTTTCAGGGACAATGCTTGCAGGAGGGAAGGTCACAGCTCATTCTGAATTTTCTAATTCGTTTACTGTATTTCTTAAGCTGGGGAGTTCTAACCATCCACCTATTGAGTATGGAGTTGGAGATGTGCTGCCCATGAGCTGCCAGTTAACGCGCGAACCCATCTTATTAAAAGAAGTGCATTCCCAGAAACAAAAAGAAAGGGCGGCCAAGGCCATGCAAGGCCTATATGAGGTGAGGCGATGGGTTGCCCTTCAGGTGAACATGAGAGAACACCTGGGAACAGGGAAGGAGTTGTTGATAGCTAGGAAGGAAGGTAGCTTGTTTCAGAAGTTGAAATGGTCAAGAGATGATGAGTTGAAAGCTCTCATGCTTCAAGCTGATTTGGAAAGGGTGGCAGCTGGAGATTCAGAGGCTACAATTTCAAGGAGATTACTTGAAGAAACTGCCAATGTATGGGATCCTGGATTTAAAGTGGTGGAGAGTGCATATCCATGTGTGATTGGAGGATGCATATCTAGGAGACTATTGAGAAAACTTAGCATCCATAATGATGAATCACTCAGGTGGAATCTGCTAGAAGGACGGGTTGCAGCCCTATCAAGACATATAACTGCTGCACATGGAGAAGCACAGCACAAAGAGACATTTGTCGTTATTGAGTGCTTTAAAGCCACTGAAGGGACGGAGATTTCACTAAACTTATCCTTGGCTGCAGAAACATTTGTGAGGTGGGGGGATGAAGTACAGAGACTCCTGGTTCAAAAATCAGAGAGATATTGGGAAGGAAGAGGCGCAAAGAGGAAGAAGGAGCATAAGATCTTGGCTGTCTCCTTCCGTCCACCTTGAGGGCAAGGTGGATGTTTAGGGAGGGAGTATTGATAAGGGCCTACCTATCAGACTATTAATAGAAATAAGAATAATAATAAGGGTATAATTGTAAGAAGGGTCTGAGTACCCTAGTATAAATAGACGTGTAAGGGAGTTAGAAATTAGGCTTTTGGGACTTAGGCTTTTTGGGACTTTTGTCTGGACTGGGAAGTTAGAGCTCTGTCTCTTTCTTTTGGGGGGCTTCGGCTCAATCGGGGGCTTCGGCCATAGATATTGTACTGTTCATCTTCCTTAATAAGAATTTCCAATTGTTTCTTGATAGTAATTTCCTGTAATTGCTGTATTTTCTGGAGGATCCTATCACACCCACTCTTGTCTTCATCTCTGTACTTTCCTCCCCTAACCGCCCTGTTCTTCTATTCCAACAACAGGGCCTTATCCACGAATTTAGACAAGGAACCATAGTGATAGAGTTACAACTCTGCTTTAACCTCTTTCATTAAGCAATTTATATTAATTCCTTTTAACCTATCTGCATCGGTGTGCCTCAGGGAAGCTGCCATGAGTTTGAATTGATCCTTGTACTTCAATATTGTGCCAACCCATTCAATGCTGAGCATAAGTCCGAATGAATTTTGAATCCATTCTGGTGGAAACCCTCTGATCACTGCCTCCTTCAGAGGTTCCCAGCTACGAATAAATATTGCTCCTTCCCCCATTGAAACCCATTCAGTGCTTTCTCTTTCATTGTGATCACAGTAAACTCCCTCTTCTCCTCATCTGTCACCCGGTTCAGCTTGAAAACATCTCCACCCAGATAATCCATCCATACGCATCATCCCCTTGAGAACTAGAAAATCGATCTTCCTTTCGTTTTGGTGTGGTCTCTGGTTGGGGATGGCTGTGTGGTAACGTCAATACATCATCGAGCTAGAACTGTGAGAAAGTGCTCACGTCGACACGAATCTAATAGAGACAAAACCTGGGCTGTGATAATCAGCTAGCGATGACACCTGTGACCTGACCTGTGAACTGGGAGAAGCGGTTCGCGACTGCGAATTGGGAGAAGCGGTTCGTGACTGCGCAATATCTCTGGTATTCGTCGATGTCTGCAATATTTTTTATTTTTGGAGGTCATGATACCATAATAGGAATCTTCATTATTGATCGAAAACTCATATTTTGTATTATCATTTTAGTCTACCAATATTCATGTCAATGACAACATAAAATAGGGGTGGGCATATCGGTTTTTGGTTCGGTTTTTATCGGTTTCGGTTCAGTTCGGTTTGGAACGGGTTGGCGAATTATTACCAAACAAAAATCATACTACCTCCGTCCCAAAATTAACTTCTCGTTCGGTTTACGATGTTTGACTGACGATAAAGCAACTCGATCCCTGCTCACACTCGAATTAGTTTTAGTAAATAAAATTTACATATTCAGAAACTACATTAAAACCGCTACAAAGCCTGATCAATAGAATTTAAATTTGATAAAAAATTGATATAAAAAGTAAAAGATTACGAGTGATTCAAGTTGACCAATGAATAGTGACTGTGAAGTTGTTTTTGGGACGGAGGGAGTACTATTTTTCGGTTTGGTTCGGTTTGGATTTGTTATATTTTAATAATATATGAAGGTTTTTTGAATTTCTTTAGTTCAGTTCGGTTTTGTTCAGTTTTTATCGGTTTCGGTTTAATACGGTTTGGAAGAAATACTACCAAACTCAAACCGAATTGCATACGGTCCGGTTTCGGTTTGGTTTAGTTTGGTTTGGTACAATTCGGTTCGGTTAAACCAAACCGATATGTCCACCCCTTCACCATTGATATTTCTATAAACTAAGGTAATAATATTTTCACCAATACTAAAACTTTGTTGTTATAGCAAGATTTTCAACCTTCTCAATCTAACACTATGAAATGAGCAGTAATAGAATTTCTTATTCAAAATTCAACGTCCCAATCAAGGCCATAAATTCCACTTTGTTCACCAAAACACTTGTCAACATTTAGAGCTCACAAGTCAATCGAGTTTTATAGATTTAAAAAACAGTTTTTTACCGCAAACTTGATTGCATGTTGCACATTCATACTTCTTCCTCGCAACTTACACTTTTCTTCACCATCCCTAATGTTTGGGATTATAATGTACTTACGTAATCAGAAGTTTAGAATCCAGAGACTGATAGTGCAACATGAAAATATCAGCGCAAATTACGAGTGAAAAGAGAGGGATTTCATATCCTTATAATCTAAATAACATCGAATGGAGCCCTTGCAGTATAAAACCAAACTTTTTTATGATATCCTCGCATAAGTCAAGTACAAGGAAATGATACTACAGTCTACACTAGACTGTTATAGACTTTCACTTATCCAAAGTATCATATCAAAAGCTATTATTAATTTTAATGATCAACGTAAATCCCAAAAAAAAACGTTCAGTGGCAATTCACTCCTTACTTCCTAATTCCTACTATACTTTAATGTTTAGAATAGAGCAAGTTGGGAAGAGGCAAGGCAAGGAGAGAAGTAAATAAATAATCCAATCTGAATATGACAGAAGAAAACAATTGAATGATATAATGCTAATCTGAATGGAAATATGATCACCTAAGTGAATAATTTCCGGAGACCATCTATCCTCCAGCATATCAATCATTGCACTTTTATTCGTTCCATCACCTATCGACCAGCCAAACAATAAAATATGCTGATCCAAGTTCTTTCTATTTGCAACGAATGCAATCCCACTGCATAACCAAGTAAGGACTAAATGAACAACACAGTTGGACAACGTATATAGCAGCCTTCGTTATATTGAAAAAATAGAATACTACTGAAGAAAGATATGTTTCGTAACAGAAGGCATGTGTCATCTGGCGATACAAATAGTCAATTATACAATACCAGCTGGTCATATGTCACTAGTGGAAGAGGATTTCTATGTGATCGAGGTATGCTGACTAGACTTAATGGTAATTTTATCGGACATCAATTAGACTGTGAAACAATGTCACATTTTAAAAGAAGAGTGTGGCAGAGGTGCATATGTTGCGTTGGATGTGTGGACATATCAGAAAAGACCGCTTGAGGAATGAGATAATCAGACCAAAGGTGGGAGTAGATAAAAGATAAGGTGATAAGATGCAGGAGTCTTGATTGCAGTGGTTTGGTCATGTGCGTAGAAGACTGAGTGATGCACCAGTTAGATGAATTGAGAGGTGGGGAGAAGATGCGGGGAGGAGAGGGAAAGGAAGACCCAAACAGGCTTGGATCAGATGAACCAGAACTAATATGTTTCTTCTTGGGTTTGATGAGAGTAGCTTTGGAGAGAGCACGGTTTCTTGTTTGCACTACTAAATCCGGACAGCCGGTATCCTTGTTTGCACTACTAAAGCCGGACAGCCGGTATCCTTGTTTGCACGGCTTGTTGGGCCACTGATACAGCAATTGCAAGACGTAAGGAGAACCTTATGGAGATGGAGGCAGTGATTCCCCCAGAATGTGTGCTACGAGGAAGCACTGCAGAGGAGTACCAAGTAAGATACGTACCAAGTAAGATACATCTGTAATTTGAAAAGTGGAGATTCTAGATTGAGCTACACCGAAGAATTGGAAATAGCGATGAGCGGTCCAAAGAATGAAGGGGAACGGCGAGCCGGGACGGGTTGGCTCGCATAGATTGATGGGGAATGAGGAAGTTGGTTGTCAGGGTAAGATGTGCAAGTTGTCAACTTGTCATCTTAGGGAGGACATTGGTTTATTATTTTTTATTATTTTAGACTTAACTCGCATTTTATTTTGCACTCTATTGTTATTCAGTTTATTTTTCATTATGTATCTCCGGGTGTGAAGATCTATGTTAGCTTTGGGATGATTAGGTTTCATCATGTTAGAAGTATAAAAGCTGTCATATGGTTAGTGAAACGATCTGCTTAATTTAAGGCAATCTATTCTATGCCTGATCATATGGTGAGAGCCTGAGAGGACCTTCAGAGTTTGAGTCTAGTCAATCTAGTGTGAGAAAGGTTAGTGGCATGAAGACTGATGTAAGGTTTATGATTTTTTAATATCAATATTCAATACAGGCGATTTCCGGTATATAAAAAGCTCGAGAAGAGAACTTAAGTTCAGAAAATGATAAGGGTTGATACATACTGATTATCTAAGTAGCTGAAAAAGAGGTGAGGTCCACTAGCCAAAGGAACAACATCAGAACGGAAATCTGCAAAGACATCTGTGAAGGACTGAATTACTGGCTTAGAAGAGTCCTGAAAGAAGAAAATGTGACACAAGTTTTAGCACAAATGCACAATGCATGATTTTTTGTGCAAGCAAAATCGTCCAAGAATAGATAAGATCAATCAAAATTAGTGGGAAGAAAATATGATACTTTTTCCACTATATCATTTTAAAATGTGAAAAAAATCAGAGAGATAAATTGAGGTAAGGGTCAGATTGGTACTCGAAGTTGCATAAAAAGGGTTAAATAAGTCCTTACTGTCCGGCCGGCCCCATTTGGGGCGGTTCCCGGTGGAATTTTTTGATGAAATTTTTTGAACATCTTATTCATTAAGTCTAGTTTACCCATACCAAATTTCAGCTAAAACTTCAATCGGGAAGACATTCAAATGAACTCTTGAAGATAACTGCGCTTTTAACTACACAGTTATCTTCAAGAATTCATTTGAATGCCTTCCTGGTTGAATTCTTAGCTGAAATTTGGTATGAGTAAACTAGACTTAATGAATAAGATGCTCAAAAAATTTCGTCAAACAATTCCACCGGGAACCGCCCCAAATGGCGATGGCCGGACAGAGCCTCCTATATAAGGACTTATTTGACCCTTTTTATGCAACTTCGAGTACCAATCCGACCCTTAACTCTAAATTAGAGGAACATTAGAACTTTGAAGACATATACTGAATATTGAAGTTGCAAAAAGGAGAAAAACTATATGTCATGTCTCTTGGACCAATAGAAGGTAGAGTAGATCAGGGTTTTCTATCTCGGTATTAGTAATTCAACTCAGCAAGAGCATCTGATTATTAAACATGACGATGTGTACCGCCACATGCTGTCAGTATAGAAATCAGAGTGGGTGATGTCATTTAGCTGACACCTCAATTCCTCAACTAATTGCCAAATGAGTATAACTAGATGACCTTATATTGTCATTTTTATCAATAACCCAATAGGATTAAAAGTACATTTATACTCATGTAAAGGTGATCTGAGCTCAATGGCTAAACCAACTGTTGCATACAGTGATTAAATAAACTAGATAGCAAAAAACAACATAGTCCATCAGATTTTCTCAGGTTTGTTTTAACCATTTTGCATTTTAAACCAAGAAGCAAGTGACAGAAGTACATAAATGCTTCTTAAAAGTAGGTATACATAAATAAATTAACATCTTAATAACATTTTGTCAAGGGGGGAAATGATACACTAATTTCAAACATCACTCTCTTCAAATTAAATAAAACTGATGGAAATCTTTACTCACATTATCAATTTCACCATTCTTGCATGTGATAATTTGCAAGGCATAGGTTTCCTCACCATTGTTGTTTATGTAAATGCATCCTAGCACAATGCTATCTGGACGAACCCATCTCACAGCATCCACTAATTTCAAACAGCATAGTTTAGCATAAAAGCACATTCTAATTAGAAATTTATTAAACCATCCAGAATTAGAAAACAATAAAATTGACGCAGACCAATTAAAGGCACAAGTTTCAATGTACTAATATGCATAGCACGAGAAGGAACACAATGTCAAATTTATGATCCACTAATGCCTTTCTACTGAATAAGTACAAACACAAGCACAGACAAACAGTGAAACACACACAGAAGTATATACACAAGGCACAAGCATACACACAACCTTGTGTGCATATACTATGTATATTCACGAGACTCAAAGGAACTTGGCATCAAAAACTCAAATATTGTAGACTCAAAGAGAGAAGCATCCTCTATAACCCTTGTGTCCCTATTAAACTCATCTAATCTACCTGTATTGCAATGTGAAGCATATAGAACTATGGTCATCTCATATTTCTAAATGGATTTTTCCATAAATACTACTACCTCTGTCCCCCGAAGTTCGGTACATGAGAAAGTTGTGCGGTTATTAAGAAAAGTGAGTTTGTGTGGTTGGTATTGAATTGATATAGTAATAATGCAGTACGATCGATTCACAACCACACAACATTACCAAATTTTGTATGGAACCATCTTAGTGAGACGGGCTAAAAACGAAAAAATGGGACTACATTCATGCTCTACGCATGTCATTAGTATTTTTATGTCACTGCCAATTTAATATGTCATTGTCAATGACCGGTGTCAGTGCCGACGTCAAACATTCCACTACTAACATATTCCAATAACTTTTCTCGGTGACTTTAAAAAACGGAAAAACATTCCAGTGGTGGGCACCAACGGCACTTTCCGGCTACTTTTCTGGCTACTTTTCCTGCCGGATTTTTGAAAACATTCTGAATATATTTCCCAGTGGTGGGTGTGGGCAGTTGGGTAGGGGTTGTAAGTAGAAGAACTTGGATTTATTCAAACCTTAAGGTTAGTCACATTTTTGTCTTCCCGAAGTCGGTAATTCGTATTTATGTCATTTTTTCATTTCTAAAACAAACAAGCATAAGACCTGTGATTCGATGATTATAATTGAATATGGAATACCTTTAATTACAGATCCAGCATCAGAGTCATTAAGTATTAACTTGAATGATGGCACCAAGCTTAGCTTTTCCTCGAACTGTGACGAAAGAATACTGATGGTATTGTTCCTCACGACAGCAACACTGTTACCATTGGCACTCCATCCAACTGTCAAAAAACTATGAAGTTACAGGTACTGGAAGCAAGGAACAAATCAAAGAACTACAGTTAAATCAACAGAGGCATGCACACAACCAATGTGGACAAGTAAAATAAAATGAAAGTAGAGAGTTATTAGATCTTCGTGACATAAAGATGCACTCATTTTTCAATCACTATTTAAGCCTACAAGGGCGACCATATAGAATTGAATTTTAAGGAAATCAATCATAGCTTTTAAGTATAATTTTCTCTGGGCACGAATAGTTTATAGAGTTACAGAATATTTGCAGTAGGAGCCTTTTTTGAGTGTTCAGTGGGTATCTTATCTTCTAAGTTCAATTGAATAAATTCTTTTCATATTATTTTAAATCAAGGGGACAGACTAGCAGTGGTGGATCTTGCTACTAAATTTTGGGTGTTCAAAAATATTTTACTATTAAAATATTACATAAATACATGTTAAAAATTAATGTGGTAATTTTTATGTGCCCAGAGAAAATTATACTTATGAAAAAGGGGTATTTAACACATCCGCCATTGGGACATAGTTTGGACTTTCAGATTTAATTTGCGCTCGACTCTGACCTACATTGGCCACAGAATGAAGAATACATTTATAAGAATGCAATTCCATTCTTCATACGCCTCATTCCAATCACCAACTTACCAGCATCAACATTGTCCATTACATAATTAGCATGATTTTGACCATGTCCGCAATACAGTTTCCCTACACTGGAAAGAACAAGATATATCTTCTCCTCATGTTTAGCCCATTGCATGTCTCTGATAAAACTTGAATCGTCGATTGAAAATGAAAAGGATGGGTTTTGCTCCTATAGTATTACACATATAAGAAAAGAAAGTGGACATTAAAAGGTCATTTTTAAGGTAGACACAGTATTAAAGTAAGTAAACAAAGTTATTATAAAATAAAAAATATAAAAAATACGACTACATAAATAATGATAACTAACATATACCTTATGGAGTAGGGTACTAACGGGAAAGAAGTGGACTTTAGTACCGACAGTAACAGCAAGCAGTGAGTCATCCCCGGATAAGGCCAATATGGAAACCTTTCCAATAGATATGTCCACAACACAGATGTCCTGAACAGAGAGTCCAGCATTCTTTTCTTTAAGCTCTTGGGCTGACGCCAAAACATCATGCGTCCTCGCAACACAAAACCCTAAACCGGAGTGCAATAAAACAGTTAGTGAACCAGAAAAAAGGTGTGCGTGTGTGTATCGAGAAAGACGTCAATACAGACCGTCCGAATGGGCTACGAAGATGAGGCCAGAGCGTTCTGAGACAGCAAGAGGCTGCAGTGGAGGAATTTCGTTCTCAGTGTCATATGGAGCACTGCCGCCGGATTTAATAGGGACCGGCACTCCAATTCCGGAAAAGCGATAGTCGCGGGAGCCGATTCGATCCCCTTCAATCTCATCTTCCAGTTTAAGTAATGCTTTAGCGTGTGAGTTGGAGGTTGATGGCGCCATCTTAACACTGCCCGAACAGAACGAGGGAGGCGTTACACCTCAAAGTGTAGCCCCGCTTCCTGTTAGTCTGAGTTAGAACGCGCACCTAACGCCCCCCTGCAGGCGGGAAGAGCTCCTTCGGGAAGGGGAATGAGAGAACGAGCAAAATATAGGAAGTACACTTTGAAGTTAGATTCCTACTATTCTTATTACTTAATCTTATTTTATTGGGATAAGGGTTAGGGCCTCAAACTTAGAAAAAAATGTCAAATAAGGCCATATTTAGGATGCTATGTCCGGATGACATCATTTGGGGCGCTTCCTGGTGGATATTTTTGATGAAATTTTTTCAGAATCTTATTCATTAAGTCTAGTTTACTCATATCAAATTTGAACTAAGAATTCAATCGGGAAGGCATTCAAATGAATTCTTGAAAATAACTGCGTTTTTAACTGCACAGTTATCTTCAAGAATTCATTTGAATGCATTCCCGATTGAAGTTTTAGTTCAAATTTGATATCAGTAAACTAGACTTAATGAATAAGATTCTCAAAAAAATTCATCAAAAAATTCCACCGGGAACCACCCCAAATGGCGTCGGCCGGACAGAGCATCCTAAATATGGCCTTATTTGACATTTTTTCAAGTTCGAGGCCCTATCTGACCCTTATCCCTATTTTATTCAAATCAGATTAGAAAAATTCAGATCAGATCAGAAAGATTCATATCAGATCAGAAAGATTTAGATCCGATCAGACCAGATCAAAAAATTCAGATCAGATCAGAAGCATTCAGATCAGATTAGGAGGTTGTAAATAGGTCGTTAGGACTTATTTGATTGTTTTTTACAAGTAGACGCATTTATATGATACTTTATTGAGTACATGGCCTTATGTGACGATTTCATAAGAGTAGAAGGCCTTATTTGACCCTTTTCTCTTATTTTTATTATCTTTATTATTATTTTATTATTTATTATTATTTTTATTATCATACGGAGTAATTATAATTATTATTACAATTATAGAAATAATTATAATTAAAAATATAATTGCAATTATAACTATAGCTATAAATATAATTATATAATTAGTGTAATAGGTATAATTATTATAACTTTAATTTTAATTATAATTATGATTATAATTATAATTTTTTAAAATTATGACTATAATTATAAGGGAGAATTTGAGTTTGCACCCCACTTTTTGGGTGATATTGGACTTTGCACCCCAATTTGAAAAAACTTTGATTTTGCGTCCTAACACATAATACTTTGTGAAGAAAATTTTCTACATGGAGTGCAAAGTCAAATGATTTTGAAGTGGAATGGGGTGCAAAGTCAAAGCTTTTTCAAAATGGGGCGCAAAGTCCAATATCATCCAAAAAGTGGGGTGTAAAGTCAAATTCACCCTAATTATAATTATATTTAAATAATTTTAAAATATAAAATTATAATTACAATAACTATAATTATAATTATAGAATATTCAAATCAGATTGGATCATAAAGATTCAGATCTGATCAGAAGGATTCAAATCAGATCAGAAAGATTCAGATCAGATCAGAAAAATTCAGATCAGGTCAGAAAAATTCAGATCAGGTCAGATCAGAACTTAATAAATTCATATCAGAAACATTCAGATCAGGTGAAGAGAACAGCTTCTTTGTTGGGCTTGAACTTTTTTTAGGTAATGCTCCGTACTCCTTAACTAGTACTACTATTATAGGAAAATATATTTCCATATGAAAAAGTAGGGGTTTTAATAATTCAAATAATATATACGAAATACATAATTTAACAACGAGGTAAGGGTCAGATTGGTACTTGAAGTTGCATAAAGAGAGTCAAATAAGTCTGATGGTACCATGGGTTAAGACCATGGCCCAATTACGTAGTCCAGCCCGTAAACGGGAACGGCCCTCAACGGGACCAGCCTATTACAGGATTAGCCCATAAACGGGATCAGTCTTAAACGGGACCAGCCTAACTACAGGATCAGCCCATAAACGGGATTCATGGTTGAAAGCCGCTTAGCCCATTAGGAATGAGGCCCACGATAGGAACCCGCCACCAGGCCGGGCTGGACAGCAGACCTCGAGCCTGAGCGAAGTTCTAGTGAGGCCAGGATATTCCTAGGGTTTACGTGGCAAGCTATCACTCGTTGATAGATATTTGGCAACAGGCAGAACTCATCCGGAGGACGACGACTAAAAAGAGAAAGCAATCGTGTGGGAATCAAGTATCGAAGAGCTCTATTTCGAGCAAGAATATAGTTCATTAATTGAGCTTTTTTTGTATTAGATTCCTCCCATAATTCCACTTCATAATCTCTATAAATACTTGATGTAAACACCTTATGAAGGGACCCCCCCTGATCGGACCTCCGATAAGATTCAAAGCCGAAGCTAGACCATTGCTAGTTCTCCGGAATAAAAAGTAAAACTGCCTTACGGTGCCATATTATTCTCATATTTACGTATATTTAGCTCTCGTAGTTGGATTTAACTCCATCATTTGGTGCTCTCGTTGAGAGCCGAATATACAAAGCAACGATGGTTGCGTCGAATAGCAATAATCGCGTTGGTAGCAATCAAGGTGGAGATCGTTTCCATCATGTTACGATCGAAGATGAAGGGTCAAGGTCCCGGAGGAGTGATTTTAAGAGGTGCAACGACAACACTGCCGCGCCAGGCGATTTGAGGAACCAGATCCGTGGTGGGGGGATTCTAGGGACCCGGTGGTGCGTCCACCGCAATTCCAGACACCGGACACTGGGTATAACATCCCCACCATGGATCCCACATAGGCTTTGGCGAGTTTGGCCACGTTCCAGAGGGCGGTGGAGACTTTGACAACTGCATTTCAAGGTATCATTCTGAATACTACTGGGATACCTCCTACCCCTCGCCGGGCTCCATCCGTGGCTCCGCGAGGAGAGGAGAACTCCCTCCTACGCGTGAGGAACTCTCCACCCGCCCAGTCTCAGCGCTCCCACCGATCCCGGACAACTCTCAGGACTCCGGTAGTGAACCGGATTGGTGAACAAAGGATTTCTGTTCATGATAGACTCTCCTCTAGGGTTGAGCACAGTGAGGGGGCCTCTTCGGCCGCCGTTTCGTCCCGTCGCCAAGCTGCACAAAGGGGGGATCTCAGGAACGAGATCAACGCGAATAGGCAAGTCCGAAGAGATCGCTGATCTCCAGTGCGCCCTCGAATTGGCCATAATAACACCGACCTCAGGAGAAGATTAGACGGGCTCAGAAGGGAGATGGAAGGAAGACCAGGTCTCGAGCATGGCGTGCGAATCCCTGAGCCTTTTACTAGGCAAATCATGGAGGCACCATTGCCTCAGGGGGTACCGGCCATGCAATATTGAGGCCTACAAGGGAAAGACGGACCCTCAGCACCACGTTTCCAGGTATGTGGCTTATATGGTCATGATGGGATATGACGACGCTATAAAATGTAGAGGATTCTCGGTGACCCTGGACGGGTTAGCATGGGAATGGTACGACTCTCTACCGGATGGAGGAACCGGATGGAGGAATAGGGAACTTCTGGGAGTTGGCTCACGCATTTGTAACGCGCTTTGCCACCTCCAAGGATTCCAAGAAGAATGTCTCTCACTTTCTGGGAATCAAACAGGGCTCCCAAGAAACCCTGAATGATTTCCTGGGTCGTTAGAGGGAAGAGACGGTCAAGGTAGAAGACCTGGATGACAAGTCTGTTGTGGCTATCCTCACTAATGCTCTGAGGTCGGGCGAGTTATACAAAGATTTTATACGCAGGCCCCCGACCTCCCATGAGGAGGCCCTGTTGCGCGCCAAGGCATAAGCCGAGGTTGACGAAGCCGAGAAAAGAAAGAAAGACGGGGAATCAGGGAAGTCTCAGCCCAATGGAAGGAAGAGTTCAGATAAAGAAACCCATGACCCGGAAAAGGGGAGTGGACTCAAAAAGAAGAAAAGAGGCTGGGGGAAGGGCAGATCAACTGTTCCAGAGGGACCTTTGTCCAGTCAACCTGAGTTCCCAGTTGATACTGTCCTAGACTGTGCAACAAAGCAAGGCCTGATCACAATCCCTGAGGGATGTAACATCGTCAACGGTCAAACTTCGAGGGGTAAGTTCTGTAAGATCCACAGAAGCGATACCCATGAGACCGACGAATGTTACTTCCTGAAGAGATATGTGGAAAAGATGGCCCGCGACGGACAGTTGGTTCAACTCCTAAAGAAAGTTCGGCAGAATCAAGACCCCCAGAAAAGGAACACCTAGAGTCGGGGAAAGGACGAGCCAACCTCTACCTCAAAGAAAAGAGAGGTTGGAGCCCAGTTCGAGGATGATGAAGAGGGGGGAGATGCGGGCCGGCAAAAGCGCCCGCATGTTAACCAGATATACGACGGGCCTGTGGGAGGAGATACGGCGGCAGAATGGAAAAAATAGAATCGCCAACTCTTTGTGGGAGAAATCAGCCGCCTTCCTGCGAACAAAAAGCAGAAACGAGAGTCCATTGTCTTCACAGACGACGATTTACCACCATGTCCTCCGCCGCACAGAGATGCCTTGATGATAAAAATGGAAGTCCTTGATACCATTGTCCATCGAGTCCTTGTAGATAATGGGAGTTCAGTGAACATTCTATACATGAACACACTCCAGGATATCAGCCTCCAAAGGGCAGACCTCAAACTGGTCAAAACCCCATTGTCAGGCTTCACAGGAGATACGATTGAACCTCAGGGGATTATCACTCTCAAGATCCAGCTCGGATCGGAACCCTGCGTAAGGACTGTCGAGACGGACTTCGTGGTTGTGCGGCTGCCTAGTGTACACAAAGCGATTCTTGGCCGACCTCTTCTAGAAGACCTGGAGGCGATCATTTCCCAGGCTCACATGTGCCTAAAATTCTATACCCCGGCAGGAGTGGGCACAGTAAAGGGATACCAGAGAATGGCTAGGAGTTGTTACGTGAGGGCTTGCAAGGCCCACGGGAAAAATGAAGAAAGAGTGAATGCCATCGAACAGGACTTGTCGAAATTCGAGGATGGGAAATTCAAAGCCCAGCCTATTTCGGAGCTTGAGGAGGTCGGAGTCGATCCAACCCGGCCAGAACGCCGGATTAAGATTGGTCTAGGGCTCCAGGCCGACCTGAGAGCAAGGGTAATCCAAGTTTTGGTG